GTCGAATTTTGCATTCGTCCCAAAGCCGTCGGGGGATTGGAGAATGTGTGTGGACTTTACTAACCTTAATCGGGCGTGCCCAACGGATGCCTACCCGATGCCGCGCATTGATCTGCTTGTGGACGCTACGGCCTATCATGAGGCGCTTAGCTTCCTTGACATGTTTTCGGGGTATCATCAAATTCCCATGGTGGAGGAGGATAGAGCAAAGACCGCCTTTATGACCCCTTTTGGCAACTTCTGTTACAGAGTGATGGCATTTGGTTTGAAGAATGCAGGCGCCACATATCAGCGCATGGTAAATCAAATCTTTCGTGAGCAGTTGGGAAGGAACGTCGAGGCATATGTTACGATTTGATCGTGAAGATCAACAGGCGTCAAGACCACATCTCAGACTTGAGGGAAACATTCGAGACTATGCGCCTGTATAAGCTGCGGCTCAACCCAAAAAAGTGTGTGTTCTTAGCAGAAGCTGGTAAGTTCTTGGGATTCATGATCACAAAAAGAGGAATTGAGGCCAACCCCAAGCAAGTTGAGGCCATCATGAGGTTGACGCCCCCCCGAACGCCTAAGGAGGTGCAAGGGTTGACGGGAAGATTGGCGGCGCTGGGGCGCTTCATTCCAAGGGCCTCCGATCGAGGCGCCTCCTTTTTCAGAACTCTAAAAAAGGCAAGCAAGTTTAAGTGGACGGAGGAGTGCGATGAGGCATTCGGAGATTTAAAGAAGTTGCTGACCGCGCCCACTGTGATGACCGCGCCTAAGATCAAGGAGACGCTATACTTGTATATTGCGGTGTCCCGGATTGCGGTGAGTGCGGTGTTGGTGTCCAAAGATCCGTCGACGAATGAGGAGAGGCCGGTATACTACGTGAGCCGCACCATGGTGGTGCACGAGACAAGGTATGCGCCCATTGAAAAAGCGGCGTTGGCGGTAGTGATGGCAGCTAACAAACTCCGGCCTTACTTCCAAGCTCACGGCATCGTGGTACTCACGAACTTGCCTCTCCGAACGGTCCTTGGGTCCATGGATGTTTCGGGGCGCCCGGACAATTTAAGTACTTGATTGTGGCTATTGACTATTTTACCAAGTGGATTGAAGCGGAACCTTTGGCATCCATCACGGAAGTGCAAGTGCGGAAGTTTACAAGAAAGAACATCTTCACAAGGTTCGGGCTACCGGAGTCGATCATCACCGATCATGGCAAGCAGTTTGATTGCAAGAAATTTATCGACTTCTGCTACGAAAAATGGAGTGGTCCTGAGATTCTCTTCTGTAGCTTATCCGCAAGCAAACGGGCAAGCTGAAGCGGCCAACAAAAGTATATTGCATGGGCTGCACACCAGGCTCGAAGAAGCTAAGGGGAACTGGGTGGAGGAGCTTCCAAGCGTCTTGTGGGCGCACAGGACCACCTTCAAAGTCGCAACAGGGGAAACGCCCTTCGCGCTGACATACGGCAGTGAAGCGGTGTTACCGGTGGAGATTCGCATTCCAACCTTTCGAATGGCGTATAAGGGGGAGGCAATGGAGGAACAAGAGCGAATCAATGAGTTGGATCTCCTCGATGAGCGTCGTGAAGGGGCGGCTCTACGCCTGGAAGAAATGAAGTCGCAAGTGGCCCGATATTATAACAAGAAGATACGCCCGCATGACATCGTGGCTGAGAGCTTGGTGCTAAAACGTGACTATCGCCCAAAACCCACCGATGGAAAGTTGGCACCAAAATGGAAGGGACCATATCGTGTTCAAGAGGCAGTTGGGCCGGGCACGTTTAAACTGGAGCATCTATCGGGAAAAAAGGTAAAAAGGACTTGGAATGCCCAAAACTTACGAAGGTATGGATTTGTGGAGAATGATGGGGCGGGAGAAGATGGTAGAGTGCAGGGAGAGGCGCCTAGCAGTTGGTAATCGCAAAGGAGAGCGTCAAGCCTTGGGGAGTTTTTTGGTAGGAGTAGGGAGAATCGCCGATATGCGCCAAGTAGCATTTTAAGCGCCCTTATGCGCCCGTAACATTTATGTAAAGCGCCCTTTAGCGCCCGGGATACTTAAAGCGCCCGGTAATAGCGCCCCAAGGTTGTTTTTTGGAATCGGAATATATATATATACATAGACACGTTGTTCTCTTGTCTATCGCACCAATTCCTTGTGCTCTCAACGCGCCCGGAATACATAATGCGCCCACACACCATATACTTTGAACCCTTAATGGGGAATGAAAGTTATGAAACAATGCGCCCCATGTAAGCGCCCTAATTACCAAGTCATTGCGCCCTCAATACGCCGGTATGCGTAATGCGCCCCCACACCATATACCTTGAACCCTTAATCGGGAATGAAAATGATACGCCCCATATAAGCGCCCTCGTTAAAATCGGCAATCGCCACTTCGCAGAAATGAGGCAAGGTATACAAGCAAGGCATCGACAAAATCAAGGCGCAACAGTTATGAAAAGGAAGCAGGCGCATATTAATAGATAGTCGTAAAGACAAAGGTTCAACACATAAAAAGATAAGCCGCAAAAGAAACAAAAGTTTAGGCAGCGCATGCACATAAGGGCGCCTTGAAAGCATGCCACGAATTGATCCTACTCTTCGCCAGCTGACTCCTTGCCAGATTCCGAACTAGATCCTGAGTCTTCTCCCTCATCCACCGGGTTCTGAGGGGGGGCAGGAGCTGGGTCCACAACGGGGCACCCACTGGCCATGAAGTCGATGACGAAGTTGACCATCTCCTTGACATCCTAGTTGATAGTGGGATGGTCAACCTCCAACTTCCTCTTCAGAATGAGGATGCTGTTGAGAGAAGCCTGGGCCTTAAGCGCCATATCCGAGACAGGCGCTTCGGAGGTAGCCTTACCCTTAAGCGCCTCCAATTCTTCTTGGCGCCTCTTGTTCTCTCGGGCCAGGACCTTCTTCTCTTTTTGCAAAGTCTTCTTCTCTTTAATGAGAAGGTCGATTTCACTTCTTAGGGCGCCTGATTCCTTATCCAAATCGGCCTTTTCCTTCATGAGTTTGGCCATCTCTTCATGATGCGCCCTCTTGACGATTTCGAGCTCGGCCTCATGCTCCAACTTCAGTTTCTTCTTTTCCTCGTCCATTGTCTGTTGGAGGAGTGATGCAGCCTTGGCAGCTTCAAGGGTGGCGTCCTCGTACGCCTGCACCAGCTCCGCCTGACGCCTCTGGGCCGTCTCCAGGTCATCGCGCACAACACCAAGGGAAGAGGAGGCTTCCACTTCCCCCATGCGCAGCTCCTCGTGAGCCATTGCGCCATTCTTGGCCAACAAAAGCATCTGTTCAGAAACAAAAGCAAGTCCATAATTGAAACACAGGCGCATACGTCTGCAAAAATCATAAGTTCTAAAAATCAAATCGCTACGTACCATGGCAGCTATACGCGCCACCTCTCCCCACAAATTCTTTCCTTGAATGTCACTGGGCGCACGCAATACTTCGGCCGCATGAAAAGCAAAGCCGAGCGCCGAACCCCGCTCCAACGCGGATCTGTCAGAACAGGCAATATTAACCCTATGCCTGGGCGGTTGGAGCCATTTTTCCACAAACTCGGGGACCCGTTCCTCCGCGCTTGTGCGCTGCTTCTTTCCACGCACCGAAGCATCATCATCGGCCTTCCTCTTGAGTTTCTGGGTAAGAGGAATGTCGTCAATATCCAACTCGGGGTTGGATTAAACAGTGAAAAACGCCCCATCCTCTTTTTGGACATCTTCAGGCGCCTGCTCTTCCTCCGCGGGCTGGGCGCTGGGCACCTTTTGAGGCTTGATCCTCTGCGGGCTTGAACGCCCCTTTCCCTTGCCTGCTGAGGCAACAGGCGCGTCAGCTACGCCTCGAGCCTCAGCTGCGGTCGAAGAAGACTTGGCACTTCCTCCCTTCTTCGAGGCGCCTTTCTTCCTCTGACGGGAGGGCGCCTTGCCTGGGAACACAGGCGCCTGATAGTCCAAACCCATGTTCTCGAGCTGGGTCTTCATCAACGTGGCGATAGAAGTAAAGTCCACGCATGCAACAGAAAACACACGATTCAATTGAGTTAGGATAATAACGTGCACAGAGAGAGTAGCATAGGCGCATGAAATTTGAGGAAGTACAAACACATCACTATGCGCCCACCCACCGTCAGCATAATATTCATGCAATACAGGGGTGGGCGCGGCGGTGGAACTCAAGTTCACCGGACGAAGGGATAACAGGCGCACGTGATCTTTTTCAATGTCGGTCAAGTTCTCCTCAACGTTGAAGCGGGAAGTGCTTCCAACTCTCCAGCGTCGGGTGAACGGAGCGCCACTCTCGTAGAATGAGTCAGTGTGTGGCTTGATAAAAAAGTAGGACCTATACCAGCTACGGCCCAATTTCGGACAATCCTCCACAAAATGTCCCGGGATGTCCAAGCGCCTCTGTAAGGATAGACAATTGTCGCTGCTAGTCATCGTAAAAAAATATCTAAAGAGCTTGAATGTCGGTGTGATGTTGTTCTGACGACACCTCAGCTTGAATAAGATATGTATCAGGAAGACAGAGGGCGATAGGCGCCCAATGGGACAGGCGCATGTCTCCAAGATTCCTTCTAAGATTGAATCTAAGGGGAAGCGCAACCCAAACTTGAAATACTCTCGGTATATACCAATCCAGTGCGGGCCCACCACGCCTACCCGGGCGACCCGTGAGGCGGGCGCATAAGACCAAGAACGCGGCAAGTTGCATGAAGTTATCAGTCGGTGCAACTCCGCTATTTTGACGGTGGCAATGTGTTCCGGACCCGCTCTGGCCACCGATAGCTTGCTGATGTTTTCAGGCGCTCCCCCCTGTGGCCAGGTGCTTTCCCAATCAATTATCTTGAAGGACCCGTCATCAGGGGAGCCTGAGTTTGTGGATGCCGGGGAAACCATCAATTCACTCGACTCTGACGAGGTAGGCGCGAAGCCTAAAAGTGATCCAATCGTCCTTGGTCAATAATATGAGCCTAAGAGCACTAACGGGCGCCTAACAATTGATCAAGGCAAATATAAAGGATTCAGAAGGTAGAAGGATAAAGGAAATTTACTTTGATCGGTGCTGGATGGCGGCGGAGTAGCGGCAACAGGCGCCTGGGAAGTTGCGGGCGCCCCTGAGGGTCCCTTGGCCGCCGGCGCATCCGATTCCGTAGGCGCAGACTTCGACGGGTTCGATTTCGCCTTCGTAGGCGCCTCTTTTCTGGGGTTGGACGCCCGCGGTTCGCGGTCGCGAAGGGGGTCGGGGGACAGGTGCCCTTCGAGCACCTTGATCACGTCAGTCTCGGCGCTTCCCCTCTTCTCAATGTTGGTGTTGGCGGCGCCAAAGTCAGTTTGAGACATCTTGTCGAAAGGAGGCGCACAGGCAAAGTACTTTGGAAAATAGGCGCAAAGGCTAAGGGGAAGCAGAGTGCGAAGAGAGAGAAGCTAGAGAGAGAGGCGAATTCGGCGTGAATGAGGAGGAGAGGGGAAGAAGATTTGTATTTATAAGAAGGGAGAGGGACCTCGAGATGCGCACACGCTCCACAGGTAGATCCTCGCCGCTCGTTTGAAATTTGAAATTTGAATTAAAATTTTTTTGAAATTTGAAATTTGAAACGAACGCCGAGGGGGGCGAGGGGTACGGTCATGCGCCTGATTTAATTCAGGCAGGCGAAGGATCACAAATAGGCGGATATGCGCCCGTCTCGTTCCAAACAGGCGAAAAGCCACCAGCAGGCGCCAAGGTAAAGTAAGGGGAAGTGAAGGGTCACAAACATGCGCCTGATTTAATTCAGGCAGGCGAAGGATCACAAATAAGCAGATATGCGCCCGTCTCGTTCCAAACAGGCGAAAAGCCACCAGCAGGCGCCCAGGTAAAGCAAGGGGAAGTGAAGGGTCACAAATAGGCGCCTGCTTCACCTTGTTTTCATAATAGCGGGTAACAATCCACAAGAGAGGCATACGTCATGCGCCTGATTGAATTCAAGCAGGCGTCACAAATATGTCATGCGTCCTGTTTTAGCACTACTAGATGGTCGAAAAGTCCCCCAGCAGGTGCCCAGTTTGATAAAGTTAGGTGAGGGGTTGCCAATAGGCGCCTGCTTCACCTGGTTTTGGTCATAGCAGGTGAAAATCCGCGAGAATGGATAGAGGCTAACGAACGCATGGCGTGGGGGGCAAGGTGGCAACAGGCACCTGCTAAAAATCCCTGATGAAGAAGAAGAGCGAACGGGAACCTTGACAGAATCACACACACTAAATCAGTTCTTTCATAGTTAGGCACTCACTCGTGAGCACCTAACTGGGGGGCAATTGTTGGGGAAACATAGATGAGCCCGTCTAAGCCCAAAGCCTGATGGGCTTGGAGCCCATTAATGGCCCATTGAGACATGAGCTGAGAAACACCAACGGTAAAGGGTTGCTTGGCGACAAAATAGGCTCGTGGACAAAGAAGTACGGCTAAGGAGGGTTGGAAGAGCACCACGTAGGCGAATGGTCCCCCCATGCGCCCTGACACCTGAGCCGGACGATGCGCCACGTGTAGGCGCTTGGACGTTGGACCCAGGCATTTAATGCTGGGCTGACGTAAGGATTGGTGGCAGGAGTTGGTCGGAGCTTGGTCGAGGAGCTCGAGTAGTATAAATAGCACGCAGTAGGTGGCATTTACTCAGGTCGGTTTCTCTCACTAAATTTCTACTTCCCAACTTATCTCTCTAGAATTAGCACTGACTTGATCGTTGGAGTGCTAACGAGTGGCATCAGCCCTCTAGGCGTTAGTTTTGCTGGGTCTGAGCGCCTGTGGTGTAGCGGTTAGGGTGCGCTTGGCAGAGTGAAGTATCCGGGCTTCAACAAGATGTCTCAACATTGTGACTATAGAGCCAACTCGACTATAGCTTATGAGAAAATCAATCTATATTTTATTAGTTGGTTTGTTAATGATGCATATAATTATTAAATTGTATATATCACCTCATATAGTGTTTAATACATTGAGTATATGTAAGCAAATACGTCTCATATATGACATAACATTAGGTAATCACTTGTATCACATATGACATATAAATATTAGGGTATTTATATTATAAACTATCTTAGAGTTGAGCTCGAGCCGAACTTTCGATTTTAATGATGTGTCAAACCTAAAATACATTGATTTTACAATTTTAACAATTTATTTTTTATTCAATCCTTTAATGTTCCTACTTTGTTTTATTAATCATGGAAGTTCAAATAACGTAAGTAAAGTTCATGAACTTTTACAGTCATATTTTCAAGGATTTTTTATGTGTAAATGTAATTAATTAATTTTTATAAACATTAATACAATCATAAAATCATATTCAAGCTCAAGGTATACCAATATTAAAAAAATTACACATTAAAATGCATGTAGTTTTTTTTCACAGTATAATTATTTCTTTTGAGTATAACATACTAGCAAACTTTAAATTAATTATATTTTGACCCTGACATAAATCTACCTATGGATATCGATGATAACACGATCGATCTGAATGGTCCACCCTTTCTTTTTGATTATTTAATTAATATATGTCATTATATTTTTTTTGTATTTTCACGATAATGTACTAAATTACTGCCCCCAAACTTTAAATCTTGGCTCCGTCCTTGCCAGTAAACCAAGCTCTTGTTCATTTGTATGAATAGATTATGCTATTGAACAGTGGAAATCATGTGAAAAAGTAGTTAGAGTAGTGATACTCTTAATAATTGGTTGAGAGTTCGTCCAAACTCAAGAATCGAGAATTGATATATGTATAATATAAAGCATTTGAGTGTCTTGGTTGACAAAACTTAATATACGATCCTAAATGAGATGTGATAAGCTTTCACAACTTGATTTACGATTAGTGAATCAAAATATCATAAGCGAGTGTTTTAACTACTAAGTATTAAAAAAATTTCAATATAAATATACCACATAGCCACTTACGAAAGAATAAAAAAAATCTACAAGACTCAAAAGAGTTTAACCATACAACAAAATTTGTTAACATAAATGGTAAAATGAAATTTTGGATAAAAAAACAAGTGTTAATTAATTAGAGAGGTGTGAGGATTTCGTATCTTTACGAAATTTTAACCAAGGCACATGTCCGCCACGTCAGCTCACTGTTGCAGCTAATGCGGGCAACCTCGAATGTGGTCCCCCCTTCCGGCGTCACCAGTGACCACGTGCCACCCCAAACTAAACTTACTTTACAAATTACAACGACGCTCTCTGCCCCGCGCATTAAATTAAATAATAATAAAAAACAAGCCCTAAAAGTAGAAAATTCACTACAAACCTAATTCGATTAGCCATTCCCGTTTCCATTTCCAGCCTCCGCCCTTTTCGTTTTCTGTTCTTCTTTATTTTGTTGCTCAGCCCCAGACCTGTGGGTTCAACAATTCCTGACGGAGGGCCGTAATTGGTTAAGTAGAGAGACCAGAGAGAAAGAGTTAGGACTTAACCGGAAGAGGATAAACGAGGGCGAAGGCTGGAATAAAGGAAAAATATTTAGGGTTAGATTGGTCAATGAGCATTTTCGGTAAATTTACGAAAATTCGTTCCGGCCATAGATATGAACTAGAAATATCAAATTATAAATTCGCAATTCGCACAACTTTGAAACTTATTTATATTTGGGTAAAGATTATTTATTATCCAAATCTTTTTAACCAAATCTATTGAATTAATAAAAATGGGTCAAATTTTTTTGTAATACATCAAAATATTAGCCATTTTTTTGGTTGTCTTCAATAACTTTATAATTATTTTCTTACTTAAAATACTAAAATATTGAAATATTGACCTCTCTTCCAAGTCAGTATTATGTTGTCAAGTCAATATTACTAACAAAATTGTTAACTAGAAGTTAACATTTGGTTAATTGGTAGCATTTCAATAAATTTGATAATAAAAAAAATCTGAAAAAATGTTTGGCTAATAATAAATAGTAATTATCCTTTATATTTTGTCTTGCCAAATTATAGACTTCAAGACGAAAAAGTCACGGGGATTTGATTTGTGCTACATACAAACAGCCACCCTAAGCAAAGAACGGAAGGGTGTTGGCATGTCAAACACCATGGGTTGGCTCTCAATCAATGTCTTGATCTCGAAACTCAGAAGTTCTTTTGCTTAATGGATTTGAATTCCAAATTCAGTTTATTATAGATTTGTCCCACGTCCACTATTTGCTAAGCCGATTTTCATTTTCAGGAGTAAAATATATGGGTTCATGGAATTTGATGGTCCAAATTCTTGGACCCTTGCAAATCCCATGGTTAAAGTGGGACTTGTATGAGGGCAAATAATCCATCATACCTACATATATATATTCAAGCAAATTCAACAATAAAACTTTCAAATACATAATACCAACAAATCCATAATAAATTTAGGATTCAACGAAAAATTTGGTAAAAATTAGCATGGAGTCGACAAAAAATGTGATGCAATAGGGATAGGGTTACGAGTATGGTGCGTGAAACTATACACGGGTGCGATTGTATTAAGTGGTATATGATCGTGGTTCAACGAATGACATAACGATTAAATATTGTTATACATAATAACATATTCTAATAGCATGATACCTGTGTAGTATTGTCAAATAATAGAGTGATGCATACCCGGAGACTTTGGTCAATCACTTTACGGATCAGGAGTCGGATCATCGTGCCCTGCTGCTCGCAGATAAACCGTATGCTCGGAGTAGTCGTCCTCTTTTCCGTTTTGATGCTCGTTGGGCGGATAATCCTGAAGTGAGGGCTATGGTCCAGTATGTTTGGCAGGAAGATATTCAAGGTACCCCTATGTTTAGACTTTGGGAGCGCCTAAAGAAACTCCGTCATCTGCTCTATGATTGGAGCAGGGCGGGTACAACAAATTCCCTGTGCAATATCAAGATGCTTCAAGCCAAGATTGATAGGATTAAGTTGATCCATCCGGTGGATTGAGATGAGATCAGGACCTTGGAATCAGAACTCTCCCGCCAGTGGGAAGCGGATGAGGTATTCTGGCATAAAAAATTCAGGGTTAAATGGTTAAAAAAAAAGGAGATCAAAATTCTGCCTATTTCCATACAGTCACAAGGGCGAGGCGGAAGAGGAATTTTGTTTCTGGGCTTCGAAATGAGGAGGGTGAATGGGTCATTGAGGAAACCGGGAAGGCTACTATAGCCACCAACTTTTACCAAACCCTGTTTACCTCAGAAACTCAGGTTCCTAATATGGCTGACAGGGTGGCGAATCTGCCGATTGCCCATAGTGTTACTCCGCAAATGAATGCTCATCTGACGGTGGAGGTTTTTCCTAGTGAAGTTCGGAGTACGGTCTTTTCCATGGGGTCG